ATGCCGAGGCAGAGATGGAACTCAGGCTAGCGTCCAGGATTATGGACAGCAAAAAGTTCTTTTTCAAGGCAGCAGGACAGGCCCTATGAGGAGAGGCTGAGGGACCTGAACCTGTTCAGCCTCAGCAAGCGGAGGCTGAGGGGGCATTTGGTGGCTGCCTACAAACTCATTGGGGGAGATCAGCAGCAAATAGGAAGGGTCCTATTCCCCCCAGCAGCACCTGAGGTGACAAGGAACAATGGCCAGAAGCTGCTGGAGAATAGGTTCAGGTTAGAGATTAGGAGGCACTATTTCACTGTCAGGGTAGCTAGGATTGGAAGCAACTTCCTAGGGAAGTGGCCCTCGCTCCAACCATGGGTAAATTCAAAAAGAGATTGAATGAACACCTGTCTGTCTGGGGTCGTGTGATCCCAGCGTGTGCTCCGGCCAGTGGCAGGGGGTTAGACTAGATGATCTATTCAGGTCCCTTCTGACCCCTAACTACTATGAAACTATGAAACTATAAGTACATTGGGAACAAGAAGAGGGCACCAGGCAATGTAGGGCCCCTGCAAGACTCAAATGGTAACCTTGGGGCTATGCAAGACGAGACAGCTGATATTATTAACAGTTTCTTTGCCTCTGTTTTCGTGAACAGGGACCGGGACATCCCTCCTGCCAGAGGCAGGAACAATCTCGGGGATAGCTCTGACAGGCCTTCGGTCAGTGCAGAGGTAGTTAGGGATCTTCTGGAAGGGCTGGACATTTTTAAATCTGCAGGTCCACATGCCCTCCACCCAAGGGTGTTGAGGGAGCTGGCAGGGGTCATCACGGAGCCCTTGGCCCAGCTGTATGAGCATTTGTGGTCATGTGGCCAGGTGCCAGGGAATTGGAAACTAGCTAATGTGGTCCCCATTTTTAAGAAAGGGAAGAAGGAGGACCCAAGTAACTATAGGCCTGGAAGCCTCACCTCGGTCCTTGGGAAGATCTTGGAGAAAATCATCAAGGAGCACATCTGTGGGGGTCCAGCAGGGGAGATCATGCTCAGGGGCAACCAGCATGTGTTCATTAAAGGCAGGTCCTGCCTGACTAACCTGATTGCCTTTTATGACCAGGTAACTAAATCCTTGGATGATGGTGTCGCCGTGGACGTAGTCTTTCTAGACTTTAAGAAGGCCTTTGACACTGTCTCTCACCCCATTCTCATTAATAAATTAAGTGACTGTGGCATTGATGCCTACACAGTTGGTTGGGTAAAAAACTGGCTGATGGGGCACACCCAGAGAGTAGTGGTGGACGGGTTGTACTCAACCTGGCAACATGTGAGCAGTGGGGTCCCCCAGGGCTTGGTCCTCAGGCCCGCACTGTTTAACATCTTCATCAGCAACTTAGACGAGGGAGTTGAAAGCACATTGTCCAAGTTTGCTGATGACACTAAGATGTGGGGTGAGGTGGGCATACTTGAAGGGAGAGAGAGGCTACAACTAGATTTAGACAGACAACAAAAGTGGGCAGATGAAAATAGGATGGGGTTCAACATAGATAAATGCAGGGTGCCGCACCTTGGGAGAAGGAATCCACAGCATACACACAGGCTGGGGAGTTCCCCTCTTGAAAGCACAGAGGTGGAAAGGGATCTTGGAGTCATTATTGACTCCAAGATGAACATGAGCTGTCAATGCCAGACCACAGCCAGCAAGGCCAACCATACCTTGTCATACATCCAAAGATGCATCTCAAGCTAGTCCAGAGAGGTGATACTCCCCCTCTATGCGACTTTGGTCAGGCCGCAGTTGGAGTACTGCATCCAGTACTGGGCGCCGCACTTCAAAAGGGATGTGGCCAGGGTTCAGAGGAGGGATACCCACTTGGTGAGAGGACAGGCCCTACAAGAGGACAGGCAGCAGGACAGGCCCTACGAGGAGAGACTGG